TTCAACATGGCACTTTGGCCACTTCCTCATTTTTGTGTGATGAACACAAACCAAATGTTACTTTGCATCTCGATTGTCGTGCGGCACATATTGTTTGTTTTTTGAATATCACTATCGTGCTGGCCGATTGTGTTAATGAATTGTGGCTCTGCTATAATCTACACTAGTGAATTACCCGTGCGATGCCCGGGGAAAAAAGAACAAAATATTTATCGTCCGCCGTGGTTGGTTAATCGCACTGCAAACCTTATACTTACAAAAACCTGTGTTATTATCTTATTCTATATTTCAGGTGGAAAAAATTACAGCATTGACACAGAACTTTGCAAATATCAATCATAAACAAAAATCTGCTATCGAAAGTGATCAATATTATGCAAATCAAATACAGTTATCTACTCGATGAGTTATGTAAAAAATAAATACGCCACAGTAGACTATGTTAAAATGAGGATGGGTAAAAAAAGAAAAATGCATACAACTTATTGCTAACTATAACAGCACTAATAAAATCAAGGTAACAAACAGACCAAGCAAATATGGAATTAAAAGATCAGTTTGTACCTAAAATAAGAAAACACTATTAATTCAGTGTCATTCTGTAGCAATCATTAGAGGAATGAGTTCAACACATATCAAACATGTGATTTCCTATGTTTATGCATTACCAGGGACATCCTCTTCTACCATCATATGTATGCCTACGATACAAAGTGCAAATACTTATTAAATAAATTACGCTAATATGTTAACACCCAGAAGTAATAATCTCAGGAAAAAAATGAGTTATTTTTTTTAGAACACAAAAAACGTTGTTTGAAAGGGATTTGAAAGCAAATTAACCAAATAATCATGTCTGAGTCATATTTTTTGCTTACATTGGAACAAATGTGTCTAAACAGCATCAAATCAATACACATGCTAAAAACTTGTAACAATATAAAGAACCCAGAATGATAAATTTTTAAAAAACAATAATATACATTTGGGTCCACCAAAGACTTAAAGAATGAGGTGACAATAGCTTCGCTGCTTCAAACACTTGAATCTTAATATCTTGGTTCATTATATGAATCCAAAATATTTTTTTTACGTTGACCTTAAATAACATGGAATTTTCATTAAGAACGTTAAGTTTTCCTGGATAATGTTCTAAATCAGAACCCTACATAAAAAAAACTCCTTCAAAATTAAGTATAACTCGTGCGATGCACGGGAAAAAAGAAATTTGTTTGTCTGTCTCGTAAAAGTTAATGTAAATCATAAAAATATATCTCTGCATTTTATTTAAATCAATATTGTTAGCTACCTAACTCCAACTTTTTGTACATATAGAGTTGGCAAATTTTTGAGTTATTATGTTTAATATAAAATAAGAAGAGCAAAATTTTAATTTAATTACAAAAAAATATAGGCGGGTTAGTCCTCCAGACCGACTCCACTTTGCAACCTCTAATTGTCAGCGTTATATACCAGCATATAATAAATTTTTATATTATCCACACGTAAAAGTTCTTATATTTGCATCTAAGTTTTTATATTTTATTTCAGAGATGGACTTTCATTTATTACAATCAGATTTAAAAAAAAAAATTTATTTTTTGCAAGGATTTGCGCCGTTTGTATTTGAAATTTTACAAATATGTATTTACAAAAATTAAAATCACATTTAAGAATTTAATTATAAAAGAAGAAGGATGCAATTTTAATTTAATTATGAAAATGTTTGGTAGGCCGGCCCTCCGGGCCGAAACCAGTTTGCCACCTATAACTATTAGCATGTAATAGGTTTTTATATTTATTCACAAAAAATAATAAATAGTTATTTTTTTGTAAGAATTTGTGTCGTTAATATTTGGAATTTTATAAATTTGTATTAACAAAAATTGAAATATGAATTAAGAATTTAATTATAAAAGAAGAATAGTGGAATTTTAATTTAATTATAAAAATGTATTGGCAGGTAGGGCGGGCAGGCCCTCTGGGCCAAGTCCAGTTTGCAACCTTTAACCATCAGCATTTTATGTAAATAATTATTTTTTGCAAGGATTTGCGTCGTTTGTATTTGAAACTTTACAAATTTGTATTTACAAAAATTAAAATCAGATTTAATAATTTAATTATAAAATAAGAAGAATGAAATTTTAATTTAATTATAAAAATGTTTGGTAGGCCGGCCCTCCGGGCCGAACCCAGTTTGCCACATATAACTATTAGCATGTAATAAGTTTTATTCACAAAAAGGCTCTTATTCACAATAAATAATAAATAGTCATTTTTTGTAACGATTTGTGTCGTTAATATTTGAAATTTTATAAATTTGTATTTACATCCTCACTGAAATATGAATTAGGAATTTTTTTTTTGGGTAACCTTATTAGAAATTTAATTATAAAAGAAGAATAGTGAAAATTTAATTTAATTATAAAAATGTGTTGGCGGGCAGGCCCTCTGATCCAAGTCCAGTTTGCAACCTTTAACTATCAGCATTTTATGTAAATAATTATTTTTTGCAAGGATTTGCGTCGTTTGTATTTGAAATTTTACAAATTTGTATTTACAAAAATTAAAATCAGATTTAAGTTGTCTCCCATTAAAAGATGTTAAATTCTTTTTCCACCAATATCAATTTCAAATTTCGAAATTTAAAAAAGGAGTGAGATATTAATGCACATGTCTGCCACTAACTATTGCTGAACTCTTTTCTTTGGGTCTTTTGGCTTTTCGATAAATATGAAAAAAAAAACATTCAATGTTTTTTAAAATGAGGGTTAACAATTCCCATGATGAAAATAGTGAGAATTTAATACAGTTGTCTCCCACTAAAAGATGTTAAATTCTTTTCTCACCTATATCAACTTCAAATTTCGAATTTTAAAAAAGAAATGGGATATTAATGCACCTGCCTGCCACTATTTAATGTTGAACTCTTTTCGCATTAAATATTTAGTTTAAATATTTTAAAAAAGAATTAAATATCTATTTTAGAATTTTGAATTAAATAAATTATTTTTCATTCTTCTGTTTTAAAATTCTATATCGTATGATTGTTTTTCATTCATCTGTTTTAAAATTCTATATCTCGTATAATTATTTCTCATTTTCCATCTTATCATTATGAGCATTGGCAACTCCTATATTTATGAGGATTCCATTCATATATGCATTAACAATTTTCCATTTTTATTCATTGAATTGGCAACTCATTATTAAACGTAAAAGTGCAAACTTAAAAGTGCTTTCTAAAGAATTACAGAAATATCACAATCCCTATATAGTGTAAATGTTAGATTCTCATCCAAACCTTAGGCATAAATCCATGTAGAAAGTAATGGTATAATAAATGAGTTGCCACTAATAATTGTCCAAATGTTTTCCCACCACTATCAAGTGTAAAATTCAAAATTCATGTTATCAAAAAAAAAAAAAAAAATTCAAAATTCAAATTCAAAATTGAAATTTAAATGAAATTCAAAATTCAAAATAAATATTTCAGAAAATAATGAGTTATTATTAATTTGAAAATTTCAATGTAGAAAACAGTGAGACATCGAATGAGTTGTCTGCCACCAACAAATGGTTCACTTAAATTTTAATTTATTTTAATTCCATTATTAGAGTAAATTATATATTTATTTAATTTAAACTATTTAGCCTTTATTTTGCAATTTAAGATCCCATTGAATCTGTTTTTTTTTTTTTGAGGTTATAAGGAATTGAACACAACACCCTACACTACACACACTCCTAATTACCACTAGGCTAACCCTAGTGGTGCGATCCCATTGAATCTGTGATCAATTACAGTGTGTCATTTCAGTTCAAGAATCAGAAAAACCATTTATAGTGGCAACGACAATTACGTTTTAGGTGGCAATGATAATAAATGACATTTATAACTATTAATATTGTTTGATTTATGTCTTTACATATTCCATTAAATCTGTACATTAAATTTTCATATATTTTATCTTTACCTACTTAAATGCCATTTAAAATGACGTTTCACTTACCCGTAACTATTAGCATGTAGGTCAACAGATTGGACTTCAGCGTAAAACGTAAAAGTCCTTTTTTGAAAATGACGTTTCATGCAATTTTTATAACTTCGAACAGATTGTAATTATACCCAATTAACCCCTTTTTTAAAATTTCATTAATCCTTGCAACGTTGGTATTGTAAAAGTTTGGACACGGGGTATAACAATTTTTTCATTTAAATTTCAAATATATATGATCCTCCAACCAGTACAACACTCACCGTCTATTCGAAGTTCACACAATTCACAGTCACCTCTGAGGCTGAGAACCTAGCTAGACGTTTCAACTTCATCTCTCTTATGAGCTTGTCTGCTCCCACTTCAATTCCCAAAGCCTAGCCCTCACCTACACCACCAAAATTGGGATTTAGTGGCGGTTTTTTTGGATTTAGCGGCAGTTCAAACCGCCACTAAAAAATACTGTGGCCAATTGAAAACTGATCTAGAAAATGGCGACGTTAAATATTTTAGCGGCGGTTTGAAGCAACCGTTGGAATAACCGACGCTAAAATTTAAACCGACGTTGAATGTATATAAACCACCATTAACTAATAGGAAAAAAAAATCACTTATATTTATAGCGGCGGTTTGGAACCGCCGCTAAATCATATAATTCATTTTTTTATTTTTAATTAAATTTTTGTTGTGGTTTCAAAAATTATAATTTTTTTTTGTAAACATATATATTTTAAGCAACCACTGAATTGTATAATTCATTTAAATTACATAACTTGACTCAAATATTTTATTTATTCATTGTTTATAAGCAAAATTGTCGTTATAACATTAAATATATAAAAGAAACTAAATACAATTATAAAATCAATTTAAAAAGTTTAACATTAAAAATTAATAGATCCAAATATATGACAAAAACAAAGTACATAACTCTTTTACAAATTAATCGTAAAAGTAATCACGTTGTCAATACAATTAAAATGTTTAAACATAAGTAATCTACTATGGCTGATGAGTAGCAGAATACGAAGAAGGTTGAGCACGAAAATGTTGCTGTGTTACCTGCATTAAAATTAAAAAAATAATATTTTTAGCACAAATACAAAAAAATAAAGAATAATTTATCCAAAAATAAGAAAATAAAGAATGGCCAATCAAAAATAATTAGATCAACAATAACCTTAAGGAACTATGCAGTATGGACAAACCTCAATTGACCCAATAGCTGTGGCTCCAATTGCAGCAAGTGCCATAAATCCTTCCTGCCATAGACCTTCAAGAATAACCTGAACAAATTATAAAGTCAATAGACAGTGGGTGATCATAAATTGAAGAGTGAATCACTTTAACCAGTGTCGTGAATCAAAACCAAATCACTTGAGAATTAAAAAAGTAAATAACAGCCAAGGGCAAAATAAAGGCTCTAATTATAAAAGGCCAGTGTAATGAGACCCATTAACTACTTGGACTGTTAATCCTATTAACAACGCGTTTAGCCAGTATAAAAGGCCAAGGCAAAACAATACACACACAGACACACACATAAAGGACAAGCCGATTTCGCCGTTATACCCGATTCCCCTACTTTTACTTTGAACAAGAAGTAACCACGTTCAACCAGGGGACCTGGGCCTGTTATTTTTTGGTCCGAGTTTTACACCTATGTTTCAGAGTAGGGCATCAGTTATAATCTTCTAAATGGAAGAAGCTTTACCGAACCATATTTTTCATATTGAAGTTTTACCGAACCGTATTTTTCACACGACATATAAGCAAAATTAACCATCCGAATAATATTATGATCTGTAAAAATTCTAAAACTGTTTAAAGGTAATCCGAAATGACATAACTACCCGATATAGGGCTTATCATTTCTCAAGCTGCCGGATATAACTTTATCTCCGGCTACTAAATCATAACTGTACAAAGATGATCAATGGTGATAAAGGAAGAGAGAGAAAAAGGGAATCATAACCATTCAAAGGTGAATCAATAAATATAAGGAAATAAATAATCAAAACGACTTAGTTTTGGGGTGGCCAGAGATAAACTTATCTCAAGTAGCTTGAAAAATGTTTTTTTCCACATATATATATATATATATGAAAATGTTATATTTACAAATTTTTTGTTTACAAACTTTTACAAACTATACTATGTTTTACCGGTAAAACACTCTTGAGTGAAGTTTTACCATAAGGCATAATGTAATTTATAAGTTTGTAAAAAAAAGTTTGTGAATATAACGTTACAAATTACACAATGCTTAATGGTAAGATTTCACTCAAGAGTGTCTTACCGATAAGACATAGTATAATTTGTATGAGTTTGTAAACAAAATTTTTATAAATATAATATTTCCATATATATATATATATGGGTTCACTTTTTTGCAGTTACTACAGATAAGTTATCTGCAGTAAGCCCAATACGACGTCATTTTGGGCGGAAATCATGGTATTTTTGTAATTTTAATTTATTTCAGGGTTATTATAGTCTTTATAATTATAATTTTCTAATCTTTCAATCCCAAAACGATGTCATTTTGGAAGTAAATGCAGATAACTTATCTACTTTAATTGCAGAAATATTTTTATGTATATATATATATATATATATATATATATATATATATGAGGAAAATATTTCTCAAGCAGCTTGAGATATATTTATCTCCGTTCACTCCAAAACTACGTCGTTTTATTTACATATTTCCTTGTATTAATTGATTCATCTTTGAATGGTTATTATTCCTTTTCTCTCTCTTCATTTATCACCGTTGATCCATCTTTGTAAGGTTAAGATTTAGTAGTCGGAGATAAAATTATCTCAAACAGCTTGATGAGCGATGAATCATAAATAAATATATATATATATATATATATATAAAAATAAATAATAACCAACAAAATACTTGTGAACTTAACTTTTCTTTTTTAACTAAACACAATGTCCAACTCTGGGGTGGCGTCAAAGAGGATCAATAAGACAATAAGAGAGCTCCAATGATGAGGGGTAGGGGTGATAAACGAACCTAAGGTCTTTGGCTTACTCGTAAAGGCCTGAGTTTACATGTCTAAAATTGGTTATTGTCATTGGAACTATGCTTGAACTTGTATAAAAGCTCTTTTAATACAAAGGCCTCATGCTCCAATTTAAAAGCGCAGTCTTAGAGCCTCTCAGGCTGACCTAATATATTAATTTTTATTTTATATTTTTTATACTATTTGTAATAGACCTCTCTCTCTTTAATCCATTTCACCCTATTTTATTTGTTAAACAGACTTTTTGAATGATTTTATTCTATATTATACTGTTTGGATATACATTGAATTTATGAATATTTATGAGATTACTAGTGCGGTTGATTGTAAATTATATTTGGATAAATTTTTGTTGTCTTATTTTTTTTTAAAACAGGCTAACAGTCTAAACCAAACTTTTATTTTTTTGTATAAAAGCTATATCACAGGCCAATAATTATATTCATAACAGATAATAAGCTTGATCAGATTGACACATTTAAACACAGGCTTAGCCTTTTAAGATCAAAGCTCGACTCGGTTCGCCCCGTTAACACGCCTAACGAGGGGTAATACAAGGATAACCAGTCTTTGAATCAAATAAATGGAGAAAGCTTTTGAACTAGGTTTCTGCTGGGAGATTCAATAAGCTTTAGATAGCATATCAGCTTAAAATTCTCTCAATAAGAATGATGAAACTCCATTTGCATGAAGTTGCTATAATACCGTCATTATAAAGTTATGAGTATGGAATGCAACGCGAGTTGTAATATATTAATTGTTAGTTTTATAATATATATTTGAGAAAAATATTTCTGCAGTTAATGCATATAAGTTATCTGCATTTATTCCCAAAACGATGTCGTTTTGGTATTGAAATCTTAAAAAAGTATAAATATAAAGACTATTGTAACCTTGAAATAAATTAAAATTACAAAAATACCATGATTTCCGCACCAAAATAACGTCGTATTGAGCTTACTGCAGATAACTTATCTGCATTAACTGCAGAAAAAGCGAACCCTATATATTTTTAGGGATTTGCTTTCATCCTGTTACCCGATCGATGAATAGTTTTTCCTGCAGAAATAGAATTATGGTGGGGCCAATTTAAAAAATAAAAGAAAAAAGAAAAAGAAAAAGGGGATTTCCAATGTATCAAGAGGATATAATTTCATTGTTATGTTACATGATAATTGGATTTCCCATATTTTTAACCAATAGTTGACAAGAATAAGTTTTTGAAGTAAGGTGAACAAGCAAAGAGTATGGTAATCTTAACCCACTAAAATTTAATACATACACATTTATTTTAAGGGATTAGTATTTTTGCTTTTGTTGAAGAAATTTTTTTTATTGCATTAACATAAAAGTGAGTGAGTCCAGTATAATGGGAAGAGAGAGATATAATGGAACCAACTCATTTTTTTGTGTGCTTTTTTGTACCAAATGCAAAAATACTTTACCCTTATTTTAAAGGCGAATTCACTTAAAATTAACTTTTCAAACTTGACAAGTTACCTTTAATACCTAACCCGGTAAAAACATGGATATTGAATTAATGTCCCAACTTCAAACTTTTGCACTGGCCGATCAATAGAGATCTCCACTGATGTTTATGGAAAATATCGAAGCCCTTTTGATTAGAGATGGAAACAATATGTCATGGATGCTTTAATATCCTGAACCCGCTCCGAATCGGATTAGTTGCGAAGCAATAAATGAACCGATTGAAATATTTCCAAAAAAAGAGATGGAAACAATATGTCATGGCTGCTTTAATATCCTGTTTTAACGTGAAAGAAGTTCATAAAATTAAAAAGTAGAAATTGTCACTTTAATTGTTGAACGCTTTAGTGTGCATGAATGATTGAGATCTTTTTTGTTTGTTCTTTTTTTTTGGGAAAACAATGCTTGAGATCTTTCACCTTTGGTCGTGTGAAAATAAGACAAGAGAGGATTTATTCTCATATCGTCTCCCATGTAAACAAAAGATTAAATTATAAATGAGATGTTAAAAATAAAATATTAAAATATTTTATTTTATTATTTACGTTAAATATGTAACATTACTCAATGCATAATTAACATCAAAATTATAAAAAAATAAAATAATTTAAAAAGTGGAAGAAAATTTTATATGATTATGTAAGAAAAAGTTTTCGAAATGCATATGGCACAAAATTTTTCAAATATTTATAGACGGTTTGGGTTAGGACATTGTTTTCATCCATCCTCCTCGGTATTAATATATATTCAATGTTCTGAACTGTCAGGCGGGTCCAGGGGAAAGTTCGTGACGGGAGGCCACCACCAATGAGCTAAAGCTACACCAACCGTAGCAAGTGGATCCGACACCATGTCTCAACCCAAAACCTTTTGGGTTCATGGGTCCTTCCACTTATATACTCTTCACTTAGCTCATTACCAACCAACGTGGGACTAATCACACTTGAATATCCAACAATCTCTCCCTCAAGTGTGAAACCCACCATTGGTATGCTCCCCCGCAACCGAGTACCCGAAGCGCAAAGTACTCGACCCGCCTCTTAGCCAATCACTAGGCTAGCTCGAGCCCAACCTGGTTCTAATACCAATTTCAGGCGGGTCCAGGGGAAAGTCCGTGGCGGGAGGCTACCACCAATAGGCTAAGGCTACACCAACCGTAGCAAGTGGATCTGACACCATGTCTCAACCCAAAACCTTAAGGCATTGGGTTCATGGGTCATTCCACTTATATACTCTTCACTTAGCTCATTACCAACCAATGTGAGACTCATCACATTTGAATATCCCAAGATGAACATGCCTCACAAACCAACGCATGGGTTCTCCTTAGAGGCCCAAATAAGGTGTCAATCCTCAGCCTCTCTATAGTAAGAATCATAGACCTCCACATAGATGATCTCTCACTTTCGAGCTCCTACTCACTTGCAACAAGGTAATGGTCAAACAATTATGGCTCTTCTCGCTCATTAATGGAGAATATTTTTCATCCCAAAAAAAATTCATCTTCACCGATTGAAAAGACATTTTGTATTTATAACTTTCATGAGCACTTCGCTCTTTCAAGTTTCAACCATACTTGAGATGTACACACAGTGATTCTTTTAAAAGTTTTGGTGTATACTAGTAGGTGAACGGTTAACGTGCTGAGCTGAGTCGAGCTTTGGTCTTGAAATGTTAAGTTTGTATTAAATATGTCAAGCCTGTTACTTGTTATGAATATAATTATTGGCATATGGCATGACTTTTTTTAAAAA